CAATCCCGACTGATGTCCCAACATACAGTCAAAAACCTAACGTACTGCTGCTCGTCGAGCAAGCAAAAAATTTGTTGTATGACATGTTTAAGGAAACAGCGATTGCACAAGGTGAACCTCCCAGCACATTCGTTCGTGGCGGCAGGGGCAGCAGCAGCGGGTCTTCTTCTTGCGGCAGTAGTCAAGTAGGCGCTTCGAACTTTCAGGAGTGGTGGGCATCATTAAATCCCTACAAGAATGTTGGCGTTGAAAGGGCAAAGGGAACTGGATACTATGAGCTTGATCACTACCTAACGTCGAATTTGATACTTACGATTGCTCGTGAACCAAGTCCGCCACTCAATTTCGATGTCTTGGACTGGTGGTCGAGAATGCAAGGTATTTATCCTGTTCCTTGCTTGATGGCCAAGGAGATTTTCGCCGTCCCAGCATCTACAGTTGCGGTCGAACAAGCCTTCAGCGAGGGAGGTTACATGCTTGACGCACGACGATCGCGGCTGACGCCCGAAAACCTACAAGCACAAATGCTGCTGATGGAATGGAAAAAAGCCGAACGAAGGATGCAAACAGCTATGTACGTAGATGACGAAGCAGACGACGACGATGACGCATCTGATTTTACGAGTACGACGAGTGGTGGAACCGGAATAGGAGATGACGAGTATGACTATTAGAGACCACCAATCGTGTACAGGTAAATAAATCGAAAGAACTACGTGGACTTTGATTCCCAATATAAGGGATACGTAGGCAACTTAATTGCCATTTATAAGTTAAAATATCATTTTTTTCCCAAAACAAAAAAAAAGTTCAAGTTATATGATATTTTAACTTAATAAATGTCAATTAAGCTCAAGTCCAATTTTTTTTTTTTTTTTTTTTATATATCAATTTTAAAATATGTAAACGTGAAAAGAATTAATTTTCCTGTAGAAACATTGTTCATTAATTGAGGCAATAATATCAATTAAAATAAGTTAAATTAGATCAATAGAAGGATGTTCTATAATGAAGACAATCGCAGTATCTTAACTTAAGTTAACAAGAATTAATTTGCCTCTAGAAAACATTGTTCAGAAATCCAGACAATAATATCAATTATTCCAATAATGCCCCTCCCACAATCTCCGTTGTTGTATTCTAGACGTATTAGAGAGTGCGACGCAATATCAACAACGGAGATTGTGGGCGTGGCGTTATTGGCGTAATTGATGTTATTAGTCAATTTTTGGAATTTCTTGAGCTGTAACTAAATTAACAAAAAGTACTTGGACTTTTTGACACACCACTAATACGTCGGCACCTTAATCCTTCAGTTAAAATATCAATTAAAATAAGTTAAATTACATCTTTCAGAAAATATTGTTCAGAAATCCAGACAATAATATCAATTATTCCAATAATGCCCCGTCCACAATCTCCGTTGTTGTATTCTAGACGTATTAGAGAGTGCGACGCAATATCAACAACGGAGATTGTGGGCGTGGCGTTATCGGCGTAATTGATGTTATTAGTCAATTTTTGGAATTTCTTGAGCTGTAACTTGTAAGTAAATTAACAAAAAGTACTTGGACTTTTTGACACACCACTAATACGTAGGCATCTTAATCCTTCAGTTAAAATATCAATTAAAATAAGTTAAACTACATCAGTAGAAGGATGTTCTATAACGGAGACAATCGCAGTTGGCGTCGTTTACAGGGTTCTTACATGCTCAACAGTCTTCCAACATAGCAAGAAAGCTGCAGTCTTTTTCACACACCACTAAAAATAATTTGATACAATAATCTAATAGTTTTAGTGTGTGTGGAAAAGACTGTGGCTTTCTTGCTGTGTTGGATGATTGTTGAACATTTAAGAACCCCGTAACCGATGCCAACAGCAATTGTTTCCGTTATAAAACATCTTTCACAAATTTAAACAATAACATCAATTACATCGAGTATGCCACGTCCACATTCTCCCATTGTGGATCCGGCTTCTCACTCTCGCATACGTCTACAATATAACAGTTAGAGTTCTACGACACAGGCCGACATACAAATTCTTCAATACTTGAATTTTGTTGAAGTTTGTTTGTGTATACTATCTCTATATTGTTGTATTGTAGGCGTATGAGAGAGTCAGAAACAGCATCCACAATGAGAGAATGTGTGCGTGGCATAAACGGTTTAATTGATGTTATTGCTTTCAACTCTAATTGATAAACTTTTCAAAATTCTTAGAATTGAAATCCACAATGAATCACGACCTTAAAAAACGAATGCCTAATATTGAAACTTAAAAGAACTACGTGGACTTTGATTCTCAATATAAGAGGTACGTAGGCACCTTAATTGACACAAATATAAGGGGACTTTGATTCGCAATCGTTTCCGTTATAAAACATCTTTCTCAAATACATATGTTAATTCAACAGTATCTTGAGTTTCATCAACGTCATCATGCAATCCGACTTCAATACACAATCTGGAGTAATATATCCGTTCTTTTTGTTAGTATCCTCAAGCATGTTACTTAATAGATGTTGTCCAAGTTATCGTCTTTGCTGTGCAAGATGTTGATACTATTATCCCACAGTCCCATACGGGTACATACCTTTTCATCCATAACTGGTACTGTTGGATAATGCTATCAAATTAATGTTAAATGTTGATGACTCAACTACAACTTTACCATTACATTATTTTGCGTTCCTCTGCTCGACGTTAACTAAGAATTCAAAAGATAACTAAATATGTATAAACGTTCTGTTGTTTGTGCCATAGCAGGCGTAATCTAGCATTGACAGCATAATATGTAATGGAGAATATTGACCTGATATCATTGTCCTAAATGAAGTTAATGTTTTGAGTTCATCTTCTAAAGTTCAAATATTAACTCAAAAACATTAACAACAAAAGGGATTGTGATGTCACGTCAATATTCTTTATTATGTATTATGCTTTCAATTTTAAATTTCGTCTGCTATAGCACAAACAATAGAACGTTTATACATACTTAGTTATCTTTTGAATTCTTACTTAACGTCGAGCAAAGGAATGCAAAATAATGTAATGATAAAGTTGCAGTTGAGTCATCAACATTTAACATTAATTTGATAGCATTATCCAACAGTACAAGTGATGCGTGAAAAGGTATGTACCCTTATGGAATTGTGGGATAATAGTATCAACATCTTGTACGCCAACGATGATAACTTGGAACAGTTTCCGTTAAGTAACATGCTTGAGGCCGCTAACAAAAAGAACGGATATATTACTCGAGACTGTGTATTGGAGTCGGATTGCATGATGACGTTGATGAAAATCAAGATATTGTTTAACTAACATAGTAAAATTGAATTTCGCAACTCCTACGAAATAACACTATACCGCGGAACCGCCGATCAATCAAAACCGGTAATACATCTCAACATATTTTTTATTTACCAAAAAAAATAAAAAATAAAAAAAAAAAAAAAAAAACCGGGAACCGTCGGAACCGGCCCGAACCGGTCGAAAACCGGCGGGTCCCGGGCCCGAACCGGTCCTGGACCGTCACTTTTTTCGGTCCGGGTCCGGGCCTCGTCCATGAGGACCGTGGACCCGCCGGGCCGGGCCGGGCCGGGCCCAGACCCGGCACCTGGCCACGTCTACTCAAAATCTTACTAAATGTCTGTTATACACAATATTAGCACATCTTTTTTCTATATCAAATCAACTTTAATACATTATCATTTATCCACATATTTTTAACTATCTATCACTTCATCATATCTCTCTTACTTTTACATCTCATCAACTTTAATCACTACATTTTAAATATTATTTAATTATAATTTTTTTCATCTCATTCAATTAACTTTATTCAAAATAATTTATGATCTAATTTTAGTTTTAAATCGTAACTAATCACTTCTTAGGATTCCTTCAGCTTTAGGTACACCAATAATAAAGAGAAATAATTTTATATTTATACAGAAATAATTCATACTTGCAGCACAAATATGGGTTCTATATTTTTCTTTTTAAAAAGGCGAGTGATGGCTGTCCAAGCCTTGAGAAATTTCACTTTTCCCAACCACAAATATTTTTTAAATATTATTCCCACCGGATTCCAATCATTTCTATTAACTAAAATGCATAATTTTTCCCTTCAAATAATTAAGAATTAAAGAGTCCAGTATTAAATAATTTATGACCATTAAGTTGCCATTATTAAAAATCTTATTTCGGACAATCAGAGGAAAGTTAAAATTAACCAAATTATAATTATGAAAGATTAAAAATCCCAAAGCCATTATTCATTTTCAAACCAGTTATCAATAACAGAAAACAAAATAATTCCTTCCACTTTTTCTCTTGTAAAAAAATATTCTTTTATTTTTTTTCTCACAATAATTTAATTTTTTCCAGAAAAATCTTGTTGATCTCCAATAATTTCCAAATCCTAGCCTTTTATTTATGTATTTCTTTTCCTCTGTTTTGCGCTCCTGATTCAAATACTTTCAGCTCTGTGAAATTGTAGCTGCCCCAAGTGAATAAAAATCTTGCTACTGGGTTTTGGGTTTTTCATCCCCTTCTAGAAAACAGATTGAAAAAGAAAAGAAAAAGAAAAAAATGGGATTTTGAAAAAAAAGGTCTCTTTTTATTTGATGAAATAATGGAAGGTACTAATAATGGTTTGCGCGGCGGTGGAGTGACAGTGGTGGGTTCAGGTGTTCCCTCCGAATACCACGTGGCGCCTGGAACCACCAACGAAAACCCACCTCAGGTAACTGGGTCGCCGTCACCTGCGGCCGTGGCCGCAGCTCCAGCACCGGCGGACGCTGCCGGAGGAGTTGGAATTGGGGACATCCCAACCTTGAAGAAGAAAAGGGGCAGGCCTAGGAAGTATGGTCCTGATGGCTCGGTGGCTAAAGCCCTCTCACCTAAGCCGATTTCATCATCGGCGCCGCTGCCACCGGTGATTGACTTCTCGGCTTCCGGTAAACGAGGGAAGGTCCGGCCAGTCACCTTGCCGGCCAAGCGGCAGGAGCCGCTCAGAGTGGAGTGTGACGGTTTGGGTATGAGAAATAGTTTTAGTTACTCTTGTGTGTTCTTATTTATTTATTTGTTTATGATTTTCAGCAGTTTTTGTTTGTTCAAAGCTGTCCTTGCATGCATGTTGGTGTAGGTTGTTTTTTTCTATGTGAGGATCTGTGAATTTTTATGTGAACTTTAAAGGTGAGTGTTTTTGGAGTTTGGAGTATAGAGGGAAGAAAGTGGGGTCTGTGAATTGATGTGTCCAATTTAAAGATCTTGGTTACAAATGGATTATGAGGTGGGTTTTTCTTTGAGTTGGTGTCTGCAAAAAGCAAATCTTGAAATTTTGTGGGCATTATGGAGGACCGCTCATACTTTTGACATATGCGTCTTGGAGGAGCAACATGTGTACATGGATCCACGATGATGTCACGACGTTACATGTGTTGTTCATACTAGAAAATGAAGTGAATAAGGTTAGTTTGGTTTTGGCTAGAGGATTGGCCTTTCTGAACTAAGTTCTTTTGCTCTTTAGTAATAATGGTTTTATTGTCTTCTGGTAATTTGCACTTCCGCAGTGGTTTCATTATAACTTGTATCGAGGCCTTATGTGGTATTGCCTCGATTTTCAATGCACAACTTTTAGTTACTCACAAAATCTGAACAGTTGAGATTCTTCAGATATTTGAAAAATGTGATAATATAATGGCATGAAAAATGATTTACATGCCTTTGGTTGCATGTTCCGAAAATGCCTCGGCATTTGATTAACACCCAACTCGTATACTTGAGATAAAATATCAATTGTCTGTTGTATTATGATGAAATTATTTCATATGAGTTACATTGAGTGGTGGATTGTTATGATGAAAGTATATTGATTAAATACTTGCATATATAGGATGTTCTGTATTTATCTCTATTTCCTTGTGATGGTAGGTTATCCTACTAACGTGCACTTTCCTTGAGATTTGACAAAAGATTCACTATATCCAATTTGGTTTTTTGAACTATTGGCCACTAGCATGTTGCATGAATCTGTTTGCCATTTGCTATTCATTTAATTCATTTCTCTTTTGAATATATTTTCTGAATTTTTTCCCATTTGTCTATTTCATTGTTCCCCTGCTTTTTAAGCGGGTATGAAAGATTCATTCATGTGATTTTCTCTTATTCTTGATATTTTCTTTTTGCAGGCGAATGGGTTTCGTGTTCTGTTGGTTCTGTTGGTGCTAATTTTACACCACATATGATCACTGTCAATACCGGAGAGGTAAGATTTTGTTAATATAAATGATTAAATTCTAATACAACTTTTTTAAGCTTAATATAATTCTCTTATGCTCATATGCTATTAGTTCAGTAATTAACATTCGTTCTTCACGATGCATGTTATTTTCTTTCCTCCTTTTACCTTGCTTATCGCATTGTTAAGCAAAAAATTAAGGCTTCAACATTCTGCATTTTTTTGAGGTTTTTAGGACATCACAATGAAAATCATATCATTCTCTCAACAAGACACCCGGGTAACATGCATTCTCTCGGCCAATGGTGTAATTTCGAGTGTCACTCTTCGTCAAGCTGATTCTTCTGGTGGCACACTGACATATGAGGTGATTCAGTTAAGCTGGAAATTATGCTTGCATAAGTATAATATCGTATACTTCTATTGTATGTCCCTTTGTTATTTTTCCAATTAGTAATAATCAATACTTCCTCCTATTTTTAATAAATATCGTTTTGAGAAGTTGCACAGTAATTAAGAATCATTTTTTTGCCAATAATAACCCTCATTAAGGAGGATAGAGATGGATATTTTGAGAAAAGATGAAGAGTGAATATGATGAGAAAAGATGGAGTGAATATGAAAAGACGTAGTGTATTTTATTAGCTAGATGAGGATAATAATGGAAAAATATGTATAAAAGATCCAAAACGACATTTATTTAGTAAATTGTTGACAAAGCCAAAATGACATTTAAAAAACATAGGAGGGATTAATAATTATAGTAAACGTGTTTTCTTGTGAAGTAGATTGTGTTGGGAAGCTTTCTAGCGGGCAGCCCGCTGGAGCAAAAGACGAAAAAACACAAACCCGAATCAGTGACCATAATATCGGCTGGCTCTATCCCAATAGCCAATAATCTCGGATTTGAAGATACATACAATAGCTCCCCATCTTTCCGTGGAGATAACTGGTCTTCAATAAATGTTACTTTAGCTGAATAATTGACCCGTGATTGGAATGGACGGACGAGATCAAGATTCTCCCTCAGTTGGTTGCATGTTTTAAAAAAAGAAAATCCTAGCCATTTTTTCTCAATTGTGTTCTTTTGATGCTGTAGAGTGAGTTTCTCGTGCTATTGCTTGGCCCTTGGCTTTTATTTTGACTTGCTTTCGTGTTTGAAATTTTGGTTGGTGATCGAGCATTGGTAAATGTTAAGTAGCAATATTGGAATGGCTGAATGGCTTGTTTATGCTGAAAAAATATGAGTTAACATGTACAAGAAGCTCTCTTTACTCTCTTTAGTGAAAGTTGTATCGGTTTTCCTGGCTGTTGAAGAGCTTTGTGTCATTGTGTGGTTGTCAGTGTACATTTGAACATGATTTATAATTGTGATTTATAAATAGACGTTTTGGACAATTTGGAACTGACATTGTCAAGAACATTAAGGATGTGTTTGTATATTAAAAAACTCAATCCATACTCAATTAATACTTAAAATTTAACTCAACTCAATTATTCTTAATATTATCAATATAATTAAATAATACTAACTAATTATTCTTAAACAAAACATCAATTTTAATTTTGGTTTGTTATTTATTCACTCACATAATTTTGACTAACTGTCATGTTACATCATATCTTTTATATTTTTACATCAAATCGACTTTAATTATTGTATTTTAAATTTTATTTTGATATAAACACAAAATTCCACTAATAATTAACCATACCACTCTTTTCAAAATTAACTTTGATTAACAAAAAATACTCATTTGAACGGATATATTTATATACAAAAATGCCCTAAAACTTCAATTTACATCCTTTCTTTCACATTTTCTTTCTTTAACTGATCAAAAGTCATGATAGTTTATTAGTTTCTGGAAGTTTTGAGGGTCGTTGAATTTCTCCAAGCAAAATCATCAAAGGAAGAACAAAAGAAAATTGATATTTGGTATTATATATCAGGAGTTCAGGAATGTAAATGGGTGTATTTTTGTTTTGGTTCGATCGGATTTTGTTTTTTCAATTAAAATTGTGAAATTGTAAATTTGATGTGTGTTTTTCTTCATTCACAATCTCAGTTGAAAATGAGATATATAAAATATTTTTTTCACAGAAATACCATTCATCCACTATAGCTATCATTTATTAACTTTATAATACATCCGATTCAACTATTCCATTTTTATTTTATCTTTATTTATTCCTGATTCAGTTATTTTCCATATCTTATGATCTGAGTCAAATTTTCTTTATTTTTTACTTACCCAATTCCCTCAAGAAACTAATTCCATCATGAACTTATTTATACCATCAGTTTACTTTCCCACTTTTAAAAACAATCATACAACTGTGGCACAACTTATATATACATGTCACTCATTCCATGAAGAGCCCACTTTTACTTAATAATCATATAAGTCTAAAATTCGTGAATTGATTACTTATTAGAAGCTATGATCAATACTGTATTAGTGTGCAAAAAGCGGTTATTCAATATTATGATATTTCATAACATAAGTATACATTTATGTTACAAAAATATGACGGGTCGACCAGTTTCATAGAATTTGTGAAAAGAAAAAACTTGAATTGGGCAATCAATCAAGTATAGTTTAGCAAAAAAGCAAAATACAGATTCACAATCATCAATCAACACTCGACTAGAGTCTGCGACTCCCAACACGAAGTCCAACTTGCAACTTACAACATAAGTTTAACCTTAATAGCCGGTGAAAAGCTATATGCCAGTTTGCAATGCTCGTGAATGCTCGTGCCACCGAAGTGAGGGAAGAAAAAGAAAACGACTAATCGTCTTCTTCGAGAGCATTGTAAATCATCCTACAGAAAATAGAAAGAAAAAAAAAATTGAGATTAATGTGTTCTCTCGAGGCTTAAATGAGAATTTATTTTTTATTTTTAAAGAATGTTACAACGATTGAGGACGAGTATGCAAAGTTCACTAACCAGAACAAGCACATGACGATAAGAAGCACAATATAACCTAGCTTGTAAAATCTTTGGTTCTTTTCCCAAGTGAGTTGGTTAAAAATCTCTGTTACATCAACAAGGTGCTGTCTTCGAAGATACCTGGCATGAGAAATAACAGTCCGAGAAAAAAAAAAAGGATAATCACCATTGATCACTAAAAGATCATCTTGAAACAAATTAATCTCAAATAATACAAGCTCATTACTCCAAATGCACGCCAAAAATCATACAAAATATACTTCTGCTAGCTATCTGCATCTCTCACTCTGTGAGACTCAGTTGCTCTATCATCAATAGCCAAACAATTTTTTCCCACAAGAAACCACTAATATGGAAAAATTATATTATCCAAGTGAGTGAACTAAGATTATCTTATGATCCTAGATGTTTACACCAGGAATGAAAATGCAAAAAAGGGTTAGTGGAGTTTCATTTTCGGCAGCCCCATTCATACATAAATTTAAGTTTCACAAGCAAAAGGTTGAAGGCTCTACTTTTTAATGTGAAGAGATTTCATTCTAAGCCGTAAGCTAAGGTGTTTCATTGCAATTCATTCACACAAAGGGATTTGTCTTTCTTTCATTCATGAGTTTGTTTCATACCAATATGCTTCTCTGACTTGGTTTAAATTTTTCATCTTTTGCTTAACCTACTGTTATGACAGCAGAATGTAAATATGCAACCATGTAAAAACACATTGTTCTTCCTATAACATGCAGTAATACTAATAATCTCAATAAGTATGAGCCAACATATGATTTGTGAACATAATTTTTCTCACAAGATTAATTTGACTCAACATTTGAAGCATGGATAATGGGATCTTACAATCGGACATTGTAGTACAGGTATGGAACACATAAAAGTGACATAACCCAATGCCCGGTTATAAGGAAGAGGAAGCATAGAACTCCTTGAGTGATGAATTCTGGCAAAACCACTTTGTTTATTCGAGAGGCTGAGTCGTAAGGATTGATATAATCAAACTCTAAATCCGCCAAGCACATAAGCTGCAATACATGATAATTAGTGTTAAGGAATCAACATGCTATGTGAATAAAACGAAATGCAAAGTGTAAACAGACAAACTTACANCATTACACTAACTAGAATGATAAGTCCATGATTATCCTCACAAAGCTACAATTACAACAAAAAGGTTCAGGTTTTTCTCCAACATTTAGCAAACATTTGAGCTATGAATGAAAATTGCCATCCAGCACACTGCAAACTACTCTATGCTCCATGAAAACCACACTTAAAAGCATACTCCTTCAAATTAGTTAGTACATTGGATTTCCATTCAAGATTGAAGGTCTTATTAATTTTGCACTCATTTCTCTACCCACCGTTAAACACTAATTTAGAAAAAAGATACTGGCTAATACAACATTAATTACATACTAGATGCCGTAACAAGTTTATTTTCGTCGGATAGCAACATGGTATACCAGGCACATGGAAATAGTCTATCCAGTTTATTATTATTACCCAAAATATCACTCATAATTCAACTGGTTCAGTCATACTTTCTTCGAAGAGCATCACAAATGCCAAAACAAACACACATGAATCAATTGGTACAATTAGAGTTGAGCTGCGCAAGTGTAACAAGTAATTTATATTAGATATAATATAAACCTATCAAGTGTAACTGATCTTGAAATTTTGTTAATGCTATTAAGAAGTTCGACTCGTACTATTCACAAGCAACCCAAAGACACGAATCACGCAACTCTCAAAATTTAACTAGTAGAAATTACTACAGCACAATATCATAAAAATTCAATCTTTAAGGAGAAACTGTACCAAGTTAAACCCCCGATTTGTTTAGACCCAAAGATTCAATTTTCAATTCACCCCAACAAAAGAATAGTTTCTACTACATTTCTACTACATCACCCGACGGATAAATTAAAAATTCCATCTTTTCCCAAACTAAAGCGTCTAGATAGTAGAGGCTAAACCAAGGAAAAGCACAAGCATACATAATTATGGTATTTACGAGTAATATATAACCTGGAAAATGACCATAACTAGAAGAGCAATGGCTACGAAGAAGAAGAGAAGCCACACCAATACACCTCCCATATCCTCGTTTTTCAAGGCCGAGGGAGAAGACCGAATGTAAAGAGAGATGATTAGAAGCGCCAGAGGCTGCAGAACGCGCCCTGGCCAGCGCTTGATTTCGGAAAGACGATAATAATCGGAGATTGATCGGAGTTGAAAACCTAGCGATTTAAAAATGGGAGGATTGGGGGATATAAAAAAAGTGTGCAGTATTGTAAAGAGAGAATCTTTGGATACAACTCGCGTAGCCGTGTGAGAATTCGAGTTGTGGCTGTTTTTACATTTTTTGTTGGGTATAGGATTAGAAATTTCGAAGAGACGGCTCGTGTTAGAGTTTGATTTAGGGCCGTTTGCCGTTTTTGTTAATAGAGTTTTTGGTTTTGATTGGATTACAAAAAAATGTTATTTACTGCACCAAAACTGTCATCGTTTATATAAATTAGATAATTATATCAATTACATTCAGCCGAATGTTAACAACGGTAGTTATGTTGTCATACAATTACACTTTCTTTAATAATTTACATAGTTTCGTGCACAATTAACATACTTTACAAAATAATACAAATAAAAGTATAGATTTATTCAACGTGGCCTCGTTTACTAACTTTGATTGGGATAAAATAAGATGGAACAATCTATCCCATGACTCTGATTTGGTCCATTGTTTACTAAATAGGATACAATTTCTTCGTAAATTGTCTCATGTTTACCAAAGTGGATAAATACATTAAATTACCGATTTAATTATTTAAATTAATATTTTATAATTAAATAATATTATTTTAAATTAAATAAAATTATTTTATATTAAACAATATTTTTTAGATTAAATCAAATATTTAAATTAATATTTTAGATTAAATAATATTATTTTAAATTAAATAAAATTATTTTAGCTAGTGGATTGAACGATAACGAGAAAGAGAAGGGTAGGTAACCGCTTTTAGGATATGCTATGTCTAGAGATATGAGAGTCTAAATTCAAAAAAGAGCGTCCGAATTTAAATTAATATTTTATAAATTAAATAAAAATTTTTATATTACACAATATTTTTTAAATTAAATAAAATTATCCAAATTAATATTTTATAAATTAAATAATATTATTTTAAATTAAATAAAATTATTTTAGATTAAATTAACATTTTATAAATTAAATAATATTATTCTAAATTAAATAAAATAATTTCAGATTAATTAATATTTTATAAATTAAATAATATTTTTTTGACATAAAGGTCATTTGAGACTAAGGATAAATTTATCACACCCCAATAAATTAAATAATATTTTATTTGACATAAAGGTCATTTGAGATTAAGGATATCTTAATTACACCCCAATGGCCGGATTTTATTATCCCGACAACAAGGATACACGCGTGCAGTGACGGATCTAGAAATTTCACTCAGGAGGGCCCGATTTTAATTGTTAAATAACGAACTTGTAGTTTAAGTCTATCGAAACGCTCATTTCATATAAAAATGTATTTACTATAAATGTATTTAAGTCGGCTCTCGATTACATATGGCCAAATTGGTTTCGGGCCGGTTTCGGGTCGGAATTCGGTTCCAGGCCTAGTTTCAGGTCGAAATTGCCGGTTCCGGGCCCAATTTTGGGATAAGGGTTGGCCGGCCCTGAAACTGCCCGAATATATGCACCGGAGCGGGTTCGGTGAACCACCGGTTTTGGGCCAGCCCGGTCAATTAAAAAGAATAAAAAACTAATAAAAAAATTAAAAAAATAAATAAATAAAGCATCGAACCTCAATGTTCAGTTCTGGTTTGAAATCGGCTCGACGGTTCAAAAAGTACATATAAGATACTCAGAATCGGCCCGGTCAAACCGCGGACTCGATTCAAGGCCCGTTGACCACGGGCATGTCTACTTCTGATCAGGCGATGCTCTCCCCGGTGGGCGCTCAGTCTCCACTCCCTTCTCCACGTGGATTTCACTTATTGTCGGTTGCCATGATGGTCGGTGGGTTTGGGACAGAAGGCTTGTCGACGAGGAATAGCGACTGGCCCCAACGCCGTTTTGTAGTTGTCGAGGTTGAGGCCGACACCTCGGTCCTCTCCTGATTCGGCTATCCCTGATGCTGGGATAGCGGATCTTTCAAGTCGGGGCGACTTTTTGAGCTGTGGCCGCCAATTTTTGTGGTGGGTGAGGGCGGTGGAGTGGGTCTCCTAGGGTTGAACTTTGGGTTGGTTTCAGGTCTGTCGGCTCAGGCCGAGTTAGATGTTGGGGTAGTTTTTCGATCTTGTTTGGGTTGTGGGTTGGGTATATGTCCTGTGGTTGATTGCCTTGAGGTTGGTTCGAGTGGTGACGGTTCGAGTGGTGGCGGTTCGATGTGTCTTTCGATGGGTGGAAGGACTCTAGTCTAGTATTTAGTGTGTTTAGTGTTTGTTTGGTTATAAACCATGTCCTATTCTCCCGTTTTGAGAGCTAGTATTCTCATGTTTGGGAGTTAGCATTCTCTCCCGTTTAGTTTTTCTTATTTGCTAGTTTTTAGTTTTGTGGTTGTGCTTAGTTATTTATAGGCTACAGTAGTTCCCAACCGCACGCCTTCTATGAATTCAACTTTTGGTTGGTTCAGTCGGCTAGTTAGCCGTTTGTAATTATGTGTTTTATTAATGAATTTGTGATTTTGAAGAAAAAAAAAAAATCAACCCTATAACGTCATATTCGAAATTGGAGTTTCAACCGTCAAATCATGTACATATATTCACACCGGCGGTGGGGTGAACTTCTCGAGCAAAATAGATAGTAACGCCTTTAGCAATTAGCGGGAAACACTAAATGCATTGCTATATTTAGATTGTGTCAAATAATGATAATATACTTATATTTATTGTAAGAAACAAAATGATATTCACCAACAATTGAATTGTAAGAACTCTTCTAACAGGTGAACATTAACAATAAGTTCGGTAATGGCACCTTGGTAGTTGGTTCATACTTCATACAATTTCATTTGAATTTCATCATCCTACCAATAAACAGAAAACGGATAATATGCCTTTGATCAACCTTTCCAATCACATCAAACTATCCAAATTAATTATGTCCTAGATTTATAAAACTGAAGAATGCTTATTGGAGGTATTATTGACTGCAAATTTTATTTAGTGTTTTCAAGATTGAATTTTGGGCATAGAAAGAAATTGCGTGACCCCAAGTCCTCCAACTTTTCCTCTGGCTTCAGACCTGCAAAAGAACACCAAAATTATAAATCATTGAATTTATCGAATTTATATACATATATACATATATGGCTAATTTAATCCCATTTGTTTAATAAAAACTAATATTATTATTTCGAACCAACTTACTTTCGAGGTTAAATTGGGAATAGTGAAGGTCATAGCAACCGGGGTCAACACTCCCGAGCAACGGCCGCCGCCTCTCCTTCACGTAAACGGCTATTGCCGCCTTTGTCAGCTCGGCCGCGGTGTTTTCCGGCTGCATCACCACCTGCACCGGCCCCAAACTGTTTTGAATGTTCACTTTGAACAACGCTTTCGTTAAATAGCGCCGACGAGCCTCTCTCCCGTTTTGACTTCCGGACGGAGATAAAGAGTCCATCTAGCTAGCTAGCTAGCTAGGACTTCAAAATGAAACAAAGAAAATGTTGAAAATTAAATGTCACAAAATGAAATTGTCAAGTTATATATGCTAGTGTATATATATAGTATATGGCAATTGGAAAGTGTAATGTGTGATTGTGAAATATGTATGATCATATGCATGTGTTTTTGTGTCACATTGTCTTTTGCTTTCTTTGTTTTGGTTTGGGTTTGTAGATATGTTGTAGTAAGGTCTCATCACCTCTTGATATTGATTGTACAATATGTGATGTAGAGTTATTGGCTTGTAATTAATGGTGTGTTTCATTTTTCGTTTTTTGACATTGGAAATAATTGCACGAAGATAGATACCATAGGATACTTGCACGCAAAAGAGTTTGAGTAGGGAAGGTTCTTCGAAATTGAACCATTTTTGTCTCTGTCCCCTTTGGGAATATGACATCACGTCATGTATATTTATCATATCTTAACAAAAAATACGGATAAAATGGGAGAAAATGACTTTTTGTGCTGATTAATTTATTTGAAATTGGACATGTTAAGGATATAAGCTACATGAATAATGAGATAAGCACACTTTGTGTAAAGCACAACATGCATGTTGTGTCAAGGAAAAATTATTTTAACTAGTTTGGTGTTGGATGTAAATATATGTACTTGTCTTTGTCTTTGGAGGTGGCATCAAACAACACGAACGGAGAATGACAATATACGAACGGCCCAACCGTGAGCCACCAACAGCCCAAGTGCAGGCAGACTGATGAAGGTCGTGTATCGGGACTCGATTTTGTGTAGGAATTCACGCTAATAGCCTTGGTTCGAACACGATAAAAGTGAAAACTCGCACTAACGGCCGTCGGTTTAATACGAAGAATTTGCTCAAAAGCGAGCCTTTTTGTTATTTTTTTCTTTCATAATAATACAAATGAGAGTACATGAGTCATTGAAGAACAACCCCACTCTTCAATACTAATTAACCTGCGGTTTATTAAAATTTGATAACTAATCTATTGATTTAAAAATTAAAAACAAAAGCTAATATATTAACACAAACTGCATATGTTCCGTTTTCCAATTTCAACACTTAGGC